GGTCGCACGTTTTAAGATGTAAGTTTTGTTTTAAACAAGTTTTTGAAATAATTTTCGAACTCAGATGATGTGTGGGGCCTGCGCATAATGTAAATAAGTTTTTTGAGTGAACCAACTAATATTGAGCATACAAGGTAAGTTTTTTTTTTAAACAGCATGTGGGGTAAAACGGTAAATAACCGGGTGGGGCAAAATGGGATATCCCGTTTCACCCCTTATATGAAAATTCTATAGTTACGTCAAAATTATAATTTTTTAAAAAATAAAAGACTTTTATGAAGAAAAAATATGCAAGGGTAATATAAGAATAAACTTCAATTCAAGGGTAATAAAAGAAGAATTGTTTTTGTTTCAGATGCCTAAAAATTACCAACGAAAGACTGAGCGTCAAAAATGGTCTGAAAAATCTATGACCAGCGCTCTGGAAGCATTAGAAAAAGGAACTTGTGGATTTCTAAAAGCATCCAAAAATTATGGAGTTCCAAAATCAACATTGGAAAGAAGGTTCAAAGGGAGAAATAAGTCCGCAAGAGAAGATTCTAAAGTACTTGCGAGCCGACTGCCTACATGTCCTCTAGAGTTTGAGCAGCAATTGGTAACATATGCAAAGAATATGGAAACTATGATGTTCGGTCTTAGAACTCGTTCAATCCGTAACTTAGCATATCAGATGGCAGAGAAAAACAACATCAAACATAATTTCAACACAAACACCAAGTTGGCTGGGTGGGAATGGCTTCGCGCTTTTTTGAAACGGAATAAGGTTTTGCTTCGTTTGCCTAAAGCAACATCAGCGGCACGTGCTCGAGGTTTTAACAAGGAAGCAGTTGCATAATTTTTTAACATTTTGAAGCCTCTTCAAGAAAAAATGGGCTTTCCACCCTCCCGTATTTTTAACCTTGACGAAACCGGGATTACAATAGTTTAAGGTCGTCTATCAAAAGTAGATAGTAGTATTGCTGTCAAGGGTAGAAAACAGGTCGGCACCCTAACATCTGCTGATCGAGGAAAGTTTTCTACTGCTGTAATCTACATTAGTGCCAGTGGAATATTTGTTCCTCCTGTATCATAATTCCCAGAGTTCGTATGAAGCCGCAGTTCTCAGAGGGTGCACCGCCAGGAACCTTAGTCGTTACTGATAAATCTGGTTGGATGCAGCTTAACTTGTTTGAACAATAGTTTGACCATTTTCTTCATCATACTTAATTATCAAAAGAAAACCCATCTCTCTTAATCTTGGATGACCATAAAACTAATACACAAAATATTGCTATTATTGATAAAGCACGTGAAAATGGAGTGACAATAATTTGCCTGTCTCCTCATACGAGTCATAGGGTACAGCCCTTGGATGTTTCTTTAATGTATCCGTTAAGTACATTTTATACGCAAGAAATAGAAGTGTGCCTGAGACATCATCCAGAGCGATGTCTAACTATCTCAGAGGTGCCTCACCTATTTGGAAAAGCTTACCTACGAGCATCTACTACATTAAATGCCATTAACGGTTTCCAAAAAATAGGAATTTTTCCACTGAATCATACTGTTTTTACCGAAGAGATGTTCGCTGCAGCTTTGCCTACTGATCATGAGTCAAATATTGAAGAAAACATACCCAGTCCCGAAAAAAGTTAATCTAAAAATGACCAGCCTGGCGAAAAACAAGTTAGTCCAGAAAGACAAATTAATGAATCTTCTAAAGATTTGCTTATGGACATGCCCTCAACAAGCACTGGTTTAGGTCTATTTTCTCCGGAACGAGTTGTTTCCTATCCAAAAACACCGCAAAAGCAAATTAAGCAACAGAGTAAAAATAAAGGTAAAACTGTCATATTAACAAGCACCCTTTATAAAGAAGAATTGGAGACATCTCTAGCTACCATAAAACCAAAAGTTAAAATGTTAAAAATTTTAACTCAAGTTAATGTTAGAAATTTTATGTTAAAAATTTTAATTCAAAGACCAAGATTAAGTCACTTAAGCAGAAAGCCGCAAAAAAAGAAAATACTTCCAAGAAGGTTAAAAACATACAACCTGAAGATGAAAGTGTCAGTAGTGCAGATGAGGAATGCTTCTATTGCAACAATAGATATTCTTTAGACAAAAAAGGAGAAGGCTGGATACAATGCTGCAATTGTAAAAAATGAGGACATAAGGCTTGTGCAGGTGCTGACAGCCATAATGATGTATTTATTTGCGAATATTGCAGATATGATTATGTTAAAAAAAATGTTCGGCATTATTGTTCCTATTAATATTTGAGCAAAATATTCGGTATTATTATTCCTATTAATATTGGGTTTATTGGGTTTAACCCATCGTTATTTCTTATTTAGTTAATTGCTCTTTTTCGTTCCTCTTGTATTTTTGAGTTTAAGTTGTTGTATTTTGCATAAAAATAAAAATAAACTTAAAAAAAAGAGACAATTAATTAAAATAACATAGAAAAATCCTATCCCATTTTACCCCCACTGTGTATCCCGTTTTACCCACACAGTGGGGGGTAAAATGAGAAATTGTATCGGTGTCAAATTTTTGCATATAATTTTTTTATACATTTATAAAAAAATCTTTTTTTGTGTTTTAATACAAAAATTATAAGTTTTCACTGTGCCAAAATATGAGTAGCCTCCAATATATAGTTTCGGTGGTATACAGACTCAAACGTTAAGCATCCCATTTTCCCTCACCTTCCGCTTCGAGAAGAAAATTAAACAAATCCCAAAATCATTCTCGATTTTAGAACTGCTTAGATATTGCCTGATCCTTCCTCCTACAAACCCAGACAGCACAAATACGTCCCGTGGACGTCCGAAGGATGTACCTCATTAAATGTCCGGACATCCCACGGACATCCGTTTACATAATTTGGACGTCCCCGGGACGTCCAATAAGACCTAAATGTTACCAAACAGTACGTCCCCTGGACGTCCCAGGGATGTTCATGGAGACGAACATAGTACATATACAGCACTTAATACGGACTTATATAGGATCTAAGAAGGATGTATTGGGGATATCCTAAATGAGGATGTATACAGGACCTTAAGGGAATTTGCAAAAAACTAATAAAATGAAAAGCAAAAATAGATGGGATTTTTATTTATTTTTAAGTACATTACTCATACTTCTTTACAAATGTTGCAACTCACACCACAACCACAAAAATATTACTTATAAAATTCCTATATACCTATACTTCATCTAATTTAGATAACGACTTATGTCATTATCTACGTCAGAGATCGAAGTTGACATAGTTGCCAAAGTATAAAAAAATCCTGACTCCATTTTAAATCAAATAGATTACATAATTATTGCAAAAGTATTACCATCTCTTTACAACGACTATTTAAATTCTTACGTGACATTTTTGAAATAAAACACACTAATTTTGTTCTAAAAAGAACAGATTTTATTAAATAGTTAAAAATATAAAACAAGAGATATTCACTTTAAAATTCAAAATAATGAAGTACAGAAAGTGTCAACACCGCAACTGTCAAATAAGTGTTACCAATTTATGCCAAAATTTTAACTTTGTTCGATTACAGTTACAGTGTGTTCCGAACAAATGTTCTTGATAAAAACGCTTTATAATGCATTAATACAAATTAAATGAAACATATTATTGTGTATTTCTTTAAGTTAACATTAATAGAAATTTTTAAATATTATTGCTACGCGTATATATTAAAATATGTCTAGTGGCTGTAATGCCAGTGTAATCGGTAAAGTGATTCTAAAAAAGAACACACCTACACCCTAAATATTTTGTGTTGGTATCATGTAATGTCACAGGCTATGACGCCGATGACGTGCATCGTTAAAAAAATTAAATGAAGTGTACTTTCCGAAAATGCTAGCTAAAAATAAAAATGCGTTAAAAAGAAACATAACTAAGGAGATAAATAGAAGCGTCGTTAAAACATAACCACATTCTTCTTTCATCTTCTACTTTTTAAATTTCAGTTCCGCTACACAACAAAATTTTAGAGATACAGCTCTGCTATAGTCATCGAGCAATAAGACAAAAGAGGGAATGTAAGGGTAGTGGGGGTAAACATATTGATAGACAGGAAGTGCCATCTTGAGAGGCCACTTTAGACAAGGATAGACAGTCTCTTTCCTTGTTTAAGAAGTCAAATTTAGTTAGGTTATGTTATTGTTTGTCCCAACTGTCACATGAAATTTTATTTATATTGAAGTTTTTTTACCAATTATGTCACTTTTTAGACTATTATCGTTAATATTTAATTAAAACTTTCTTGTCTGAAAAATATTTTACAGGTATTGTTAACAAGTGTTGGAAAATTTAAATTTAGCGCCTTTGCATTTCCGGATATGTCCGCCATCAGAGGCCACTTTTTTGGTCTCCTTTTCATAACGATTAGATTCCCTCTTTTATCTTTTTGCTCGATGGCTATAGTATAATATATAAGTGTTTTCGTATAAATTAATGGTATTTAAAACTAAATGTAACTTTTTAAAATAAAGTTTAGTAGGAAGATATTATATTTTGTAAAAAATATGCTTGAGTAAAAAAATGACACAGTTAACATCTAGAAAACATCCCTAATGGGAAGTCCCTCGGACGACCTTATGAGACGTCCCTGGTATGTGCGACTAGAAATATCCCTTGGACGTCTCTCGGACCTCCAAAAGAAGTACCGGGACGTTTGGACCTTAAAATGGCATAAAATGGACGTCCCAGGGATGTCTTGTGCTGTCGGGGAAGCCTCATATTCATGAAGTATATTCATTTATTTTACTGATCGATTTGTGTACTCTGTTAATTATACAATTTAATTAAATTAATTGATATCTTCTTTAGTTATTTGTATTACTAAAAACTAAAAATAAAATAATTTCTTGGACTATACACCTCTGTTAAATTAACTATAGATTTAAAATTTTAAATAGTACTATACAAACATTGTTGTGATTCGTCGCCTCAATGTGAATCGACGAATAGTAGTACTTAAACCTGTTTGGTTCAATTTTAGTAACGTTAGTCACACCGCAGAGGTTAAAGGTATGAAGTGTTAGGTAGATAGTTGGAAAAAGTGTTCTGGTATATTGTGTTTCTATAGTATTATTTAGACAAGAAGGAAATAGGTTAGTACATATAATTTATTGTTTATCTTTTATGGGTTTTGAGGTTTGAATGTTGAACTGTTATTTTTTATATTTATTTTTCTAAAATTCTTAATTCATGGAAACCAATCCATTGTTGAGAATGAATGAATAAGTATAACTTGAAAAATAATATGACTGGATACAAGGTTGACAACAAAAAACATAAATACACGATTTCAGAATAAATTAATTTTTTATATAATGCAGCTTATAGTTTAACATAAGAAATAAATATACAAATTTCACATATTATATAAAACTAATATAAGTATATGTAAGTTTAGGTGGTATTTAATTTTAAATAACGACTTTTAAAAAATCTTCAAAACTGGTTGTTGTGGTATTTGATTCTTTTAGAAAAATGCTTTGTATAACACAAATTTCAATGCTCTATAAGTTATAATAAACACTTTACTATATATAAAACGTTGCAAAATATAATGATAAATAAATCTTTATAGTATATGGATATAAATCTTTATAATATAAATGGATACAAGTCTGTCTTTCTGTCTATGACACATATTTCAATTCTTTATTTTTCTGTCTATAACATCTTTTATAATTTGTTAATAATACATTCGGTTTGGTTTGCCTTCATTTCTTTTTCATATAGTATTTTTATTGATCTAGCAAATTAAAAGTCCTTGTCGTAATTGTTTCATCTGTCGTTAGTTCCTTACATACATTATATACATATAGCCTAAAAGGTCGTGAGAGATTTTTAATGAGTAATTTATGAACATTATGAACAAATTCGGTGATAGATTCTACTACAGAAAGGCCAATTGAGGACTATTCCAAGACTATATCATGCACAATCTTCCAGAGTTAAGTAATCTCTCTTCAACAAACGAAGTTGACCCAGATATATCCAAAATTAAAAGACTTTTACAATAAGCTTCAAACCAGCTATTCCATTTACTTAATATAACAAATATACTAACTACCACAAAGAATTCTCGCGAAAATCCAAACTAAGCGCCGCCTTCTAATTGAGTATAAAAGATTCCGAGACCCTTTAATAGGCAGGTCTGGACTGTCAAGATAGAGGTATATTCTGGAACAAATCTAGATCCTAACTAAACAGAAAATCCAGAATCACTCATACCTCAAACACAATAATCAAATAATCACTAATCCCCTAGATAAGGCTGAAATCTTCTAAGATAACTTCCAAACCACATTCATTGCCCCCAAAAACCCCAACTCCAGACAGTGATTCCGTACAAATATGAATCGAAATGTACAATGTCTTGAATATATGTGGTCTTAATCCATATCAATCAATAGTGGCCTTAATAGAGCCCGAAACCATCAGGATACTGTGTAGCATGCACAAGTACAGCCCCTGGCTCAGATGGCATACACAGAAGATGCCTTAAACAGCTTCCAGAAGCCATATTCCCGCTGCCTGCAGAAACTATCAATGCCTGCCTACAACTGGAATATTTCCCTACATCATGAAAAGTATTCTCACAATCAGGATCTCCAAACCATGGAACCAACTAACTCTGAATCCTACAGAACAAACACCCTAGGAGAGGCTCCTTAAGGAAAGACTCGTAGAACATCTAGAAACATTCAACATAATGCCCTCCTTCCAATTTGGATTCAGAACTACACAAAACGCATTGATAGAAGCAGCAACCTTCATTTCGCAGACGGTGAATGAGTACAACAGGCAAGCTATTGGCATCTTTCTAGATGTACAGAAGGCATTTGATCAAGTCTGGCATGCTGGACTGATCAAAAAACTTTACTAAGCCTCCATGCCCATTCCATTTCTAAGAATAATACAATTATGTGTTTAATAGAGCTTAAACATACTCGACCAAATAGTCAAATCATACAACAAATGAAGAGTGTTATAAATAGCAAAGAAACCACATCATGCTCACCGGAGAAATGCTCGATTTCAGACTGTTAGTGTCCTACTTGAGTGTTGAATTTAAAAAGACACTCAACTGGAACACTGACCTCAGAAATACCTTCGGCAGGGTAAAAAAGAGAGCCAGACTCATAAAAGCACTGCGTGGCAAATTTGGAAATACTAGCTAAGTTATTCTCCTACTCACCTATAAATCCTTTGCGAGACCAATTATCCAATTATTCAATACAGAGCAAAACTCTACACTCTACTTAACAAAAGACCACACAACCGAGTCATGACAACTGAGTGAAAAATCCTGAGGAGAATCATGGGTAAAAACCACGACTTCCCGTCAGCGCTAATCCAGCAAATAATAAACATCGATTCCATCCATGATAGGATACTCAACATCGGTAAGAGATACGTTCTCTCCAACATATATGGCTTCAGCAACAGGGCAAAGAAGGTTCTCAAAAAAACAAATCAAATCAAAAACTGCGAGCAAACAAAAAAACCAAAAACCTAGCTTCTACCACACCTTCCAGCCCCAAACAACTTACTCTACATCCCCCTATACAGACCCCCCACAACAAAAAAGGGGGGCAGCCATAACAGAGGCGAAGCATTAAACTGTGGCGAAAGCCTAAAACGAGGTTGTCATGACTATGCATCATCAATTACTGTAACGTTAGTTACACCGCAGAGGTTAAAGACATGAAGTGTTAGGTAGACAGTTGAAAAAAAAGTGTTCTGGTATATTGTGTTACTATAGTATTATTTTATAAATAGGTTAGTACATATAATTTATTGTGTATCTTTTATGGGTTTTAAGGTTTGAATGTTGAACTGTTACTTTTTTACTGGTCTAAAATTCTAAATGGTCTAAAACCAATTCCCTGTTAGGAATGAATGAATAAGTATAAATTGAAAGATAAGATGACTGGTTACAAGGTTGACAACAAAAAACGTAAATATACGGTTTTAGAATAAATTAATTTGTTGAATAATGCAGTTTATAGTTAACATAAGAAAAAATATGCAAATTTTACAGATTATGAAAACCAATATGTAAGTTAAGATGGTATTTAATTTGAAAAAATGACTTTAAAAAATTCTTCAAAACTGGTTGCTGTGGTATCTAATAGAGTTGTCCGTCGTGTAGAGTTATCGCTTAATCAATTAAAATAAAAAAGAGGTTTCGGTTTACTTGATCTTTAATTATACATTTTCGTGCATATTTGCATAAGCATATACACAAATAAAATACTAACGTAAAAAAGGTAGAAACCTATTACTTCTTAAAAAAAAACATCAATTTTGGTTTGTTTTTTGTTTTGAACATTATTTTTCACAATTTCTGACCCAACATTTAAAATTACATCACATATTTTTTTACTTACTCTTACATCACCTTTATACTCTTATATATAAAAAATAATTCTTGGTCTCCTAATTTTTGGTAAGCATCATTTAAATTACTTACACTTGTAGTAAGTTCTAGTTCATATTCACTCTTATTTTCGGAAACACTGAACACCTGTTTGTTTTCTTTAAAATCACTAACACAACTAGCTAAGTTTACTTCAGGATTTTTCGTCAATAGGGCTGCATCAATCTCTAGGTAGTTCAAAAACATTTCAACTCCGTGACATTCGCAAGAGGTTGACAATTGCAAATCATCTTCCAGGTCTTGTAGCTCCAGATTTTCCACAATTTCTTCTCCATTAGTATCTTTTTTTTTAAGCCGCACCTACTGAAACACTTTTCAATTGTTGTGGTTGAAACGTCTCTTCATGCTGCCACAATCCAAATTTAGGCGTTAGCAATTGTTATTAACTTCTCCAGTTCAGTCGTTGACAAAGAACATTCTATAAATGATAACATTTTTCTCATCAAAAACTGTCTATACAAAGATTTAGAGTTTTTAATTATTTCTTGGTTTAACGGTTGACAATATGCTGTAGTATTAGGTGGCAAAAATATTATCGATATGTTAGAAAACTGAATATCCGGATGAGATCTTGCGTTGTCTAGAAATAAGAGAAGTTTTCTTTTTTGACATTGCATTTTTCTGTCAAATTTGTGCAGACAATCTGTCATGATATCTCTGGTCATCCAGCCCTTCTTGTTCTAGTACCAGTCGACTTGCAGTTTATCAACATTAAAATTTTTAAAACATGCAGGATTTTTACTTTTACCAATACGGTTAGCCTTTCTTTAGCAGATTTACCCCCAGTGCACTTTTCTTTGCGAAATGTAAAAGTTTTACTTAGTAAAGCTCGATAATAGAGACCAATCTCGTCAGCGTTATAAATATCTTTACGTACATAGTCACGTAATAAATTTGGCAGTTTTCTTTGCCACTCTAAAACGTTAACATGGTTAACATTTGCAGCTTCTCCAGAAATCGCTCTAAATTTAACGGTATGTCTTAAGCAAAACTTGTCAAACCAACCATTGGAAGCTTTTAAATTCAAATTGAGTTCTTTCGTCGCCTCTATTTCTTTCTTTCTTTCTTTTATTATCGGTCCAGATAATGGAATGTTCTTACTTCTCACTTTTCAAAACCAATCGTACACTATAGTATTTATGCAAACACCTTACGTTTTGATATTCTTTGTTGTTGAACATTTTTACTTTCACTATACCACATTTTTAAATCGAACTTTTTCTTTAAAATGTCAGTAACTTGAGTTGTATCATATTTGAAACTTTTCGGCCAAAAATCCGAAATGTCCGATAAATCCATCTCATTTGTGGTCGTCCTCTGCTTTTTGTGTCCTCTGGTTTTGAAAATGTTAATCTCTTCGTGTATTCGTGATTTGACGTCCTAGCAATGTGTCCAGTCCATCTAAGTCGAATCCAGTCCATCTGCACTTTAACGAATTTGTAGTATTTCCTTGTTTCATTTTTATCGAATAAACTTTGTATCTCACTGAGAGTATTCTGTTCGTATTCCCTCTTCTTACGTCGATGGATACGTTTTTACTCTCTTCTAAGACGTCTATACTCTTCTTTTTTCTCCGTGTACAACCTGCGTCAATAGTTTTTTGATATGCTGCGTTCTTTCTAGTTGTGGCTATTTCGCACTCATGATCAAACCAAT